GGCAAAAAAGAAGTATTGAATGTCTCGCTTGGGAACTTTATTTCTTTCTTTACGTGAATATAAAACATACAAGTATGTAGCATCTAGAGGCAAGTCAAAGTATTATAGGTATAGTACTAATAATATGCACGTGTGTTGCACGTGGGTGAAATTATTAGTAGACAGTAGTTTAATTTTTAGGCTGAAGAAATAAAATTTGAATTAGTTATTGTTGAAATGTGTGTATTATAATGATATTTTGAATTAGTTATTTTTAAATTATATGTATATATATATTAAAGGGACAAATTGTACCATGAAATGTATATGATTTAAATCAATCAAATGTAATAAATTAAAATTAGTTCTAAGAAATGGAACTTTGGTTTCAACCTTTGATCTTCCTTTTGGTTTTTGACTTTTTCTAGAGACCATTAATCTTCTCATCCAAATTTCTTTTAAATCTTAATATTACCTCAATCACTTTGGAGTATATTATGTAAAATCACTTTCTATTATATGAGCCTTCATTAAATAACTTTTGAAGTGAAGTATGATTTATCTGATTTTTTTTTTTATCAATTTGTGTGAGCATTTAGAATAGAAGCAGAATTTAAAAATAATGCAAAGAAAAAAAAGAAAATTAAATAACTAACATGACATGTAGAGATGTGAATTTCTTTCTTTTATTTTATTGTTAGAAAATGCTTATCTGTGTTAAATGAAAAACATATATTTTAAAAACTTGTTTATGTTATCTTTTAGGTAATCTAAGTTTTATTCATGATCAACTTTACATATGGGAATGCATTGTTAGAAATTAAGAAGGTTTCAGTACCTAGTAATTAGCATGAAAGAAATCATGCATTTAGAAATATAAGGTATCACTCCTCTTTATAAACTTTTTTCTCCCTTTGTATTACATCAGACTTTAGTTATAATTTGGTAATTTTTTATGGCAATTTAATCTTTGATTTCATACTTTAAGATGATGTACATGTCTCTTGTCTTTGTTATTACTTTAGAATTTTTTATATATGATATATTTGATATTCTCATTAATCTTTAATGAATTACAGTGTATAGATTGTTCTTATCCCAAATAAATTTACAAAATAATAATGTGCACTATCTCCTTTAATATGTAAATCAAGAAAGGAAAATTGAGAAAGGGAAAAAAATAGATGATTAAATTGACAATGTTGATTTTGAACTCCAAACTCCTAATGGAAATATCATGTTACAAACTTCCAGATTTTCAATAGCTTGTTACCTTCAAAGTTTGTAGTTCAAGAAGAATTCGTGCGAAGTGATTCATAGGGCTCATTTGGCAAATGAGTTGTTTGAACGTTTGTCTAAAATTTTACTATAATTTACTGTAGAATTTGTAAAAAAAAACTAGAGAAGAAGTACCCGCACATTGCGCGGGTGTTAGGTGCCTATGGTTAAAGAGAATTTTAAGATAGTTGTTTGTTAGTGGTTGTGTTGTTATTTTGTGGAGTTTTGAAAGTATTTAACCTGATAAGAGAGTCGGTGAATGAAGATAAGATTGAAATATTAGAGTAAATGATAATATTTCACAGCATAGGTTTCAATAATATATTGTCTGCATTACATATATGAATCACTTATTACATGCAGCAGAAAACACACCATAACTAAATTAATTAAGGTGCTTTTTTAGTTTACCTTATTCTACATACCCTCGGGAAAACTTTTTCTTGTAGTTGCTCCAAAACTATTACATCATAACCACACCATTCAAATTACATAGACCAACCAAATTTGTGGGAAAATCTTAATATTACAACTAAATTACGCAACTCAATTTTCAAATTTTACAATGGAAGCAATCACCCGACGCTACACACCACCAAAATGACCCACATAAACAATAAAATTAAGAAACAAAACTCATCTCAATTTAAACCACCAAGAATAGTTTCACCTGAAAACCATTTTGGAACGTAGAGTATAAAGGCAGCAAAAATAACCCAATCTCGAAAGTTGAAAGGAAAAAAGACGAAGAATGCAAAGAAGAAGGCATTCAAACAACCATAACCAATACTCAGGCATAAATTCATTAAATACCCATATTTTCTTCAGTTTAATTGAGATGTAAATGGCAAAAACAACTGAATATCCTCAAGCGCTAAGATTACAGTAACGTGTCTTCATTTCAATTGCACAATAAATACCACACTTCAAGTAAATGTGTCTATGACACCATTTAAGTAATTACACCAATGCATAAGCTTGTATGACTTATACCCGATGCAAAAATGATTATAAAATAATCTCATATTCCAAAAATACCCCATGTTTTCACAAATAAATGTTTTAAATGTATAAACATGAAGAGATTTTCATAAACATACCAAAACACATGCTACCATCACTTGTACCCAAAGTTAAAAAAAACCTCCACATCATTCCACGTTTCGAAAATGTCTCTATCCATGGGGTTGAAATTCAAAACCCCTCTTTGATTTCAACTCATTCTTATATAGTATAAGAATATTTAAGATATAGTATAACAATGGGTTTGATGTTAAAAAAATGTCATTATTTTAATTTGACCCTCGTATGATAAAATAATATACAATCATCTTATATTCCATACTCTCATATTTACTTAACTGCTATTACTATACTCATCCACCATTGCATAACTGTTATTACCATGCTTATCCGCTATTACTATGTTCATCCCAAATCTTCTTGCCAACTTCAATAACCCAAAAAAAAAATGGAAATCCTAGTGCTTTGCAATTAAATTTTTTTAATTGCAATTGATCCGTTAAAATTGGCATATTTAATAAATTCAATACATAAAATTGATGTAATTAGCACAACTTAATTAATGAAATTAGTGTTATTTGTTTAATTCAATTTACTTTATTACGCAAGTTAGTTGATAATTAGTTTATGTTATTTAGTATATGATTAGTTTAATTAGTTTAGTGATTTAATTAGTTGAATGAATTAATTTTAAGAGGTTCGATCAAATGAATTTAGATGTATTTGACGAGGCATATATTGAGTTTTGATTAAGTAGCCATTTAGTCGGGGCAATTTAAGTATTTGAAACACTAGCTGCATTTAATAAATAAAATACATAAAATTAATGTAATTAGCATAGTTTAATTTCGAAACTAGTGATATTAGTTTAATGCAATTCACTTTATTATGCAAGTTAGTTGTAATTATGGTGGTGGTGAAATAAAGTTGATAATTAGTTTATGGTGGTGCTGAAAAATCAAGACTGGCAAATGAGAATGCAAACTTGGCCAGGGAAAACCGGTGCCTTCACCAGCTAGTAGAGCAATTCACTATATGGAAAGGTGCTGAAATATTAGAGAGATAAAATCAATGGATGAAATACTAGTAGTAGTAAGTAGTAATTGAATATTTTCAACCCCTTTTCCCTTAAGAATCCATCTAGCAGGTTTTGTGCAGATTTCTTTTATAAAGTCCCTGGCTGCCGGGCCTTGTCAGCCTAGCAGCCAGGGACTTTATAAAAAAAATAAAAATTTTCCGCTGCTGGGCTGATGGTGTCAGAGCTTAAAAAAAAATAAATTTGCCTTTTTGGTTGTCAGTCCGGCAGCCATAGATTTGCAGCACCTCTTCTCAGAGCCATTAACATCTGACTTTTCTTTTTTACAACGATATTATGAGTAATTAGCCTACAGAAACAAACTAAATGGTCGTACTCAACCAAACACACTGTATTTTTCTGTTTGCGCAGCTCCTCGTCATTGCAGAATACGATAACTTGAAGCAGACGTTGAATCCAGTGGATGCTAGCTTCTTGATGCCTTGATCCCTTGCTCTCTTTTAGGCTAGTGTGTCCTTCTGTTGTGTTCCTTCAGGCTTAAGTTAGTGCGTGTTGCTGTTTCTTGCTTAATACCACTTTAGTTTTCCTCAGAGTTAAGTGGGATGCTGAAGTATTCTGAGACACAATGTGCCGCAAAATAGGAGATTTCATGGCTGTTGTTGGGTACAGGTTTGTGTGCCTTGGGTCTGTTATAAATCCGCTGTTGCCTATTAACTGTTTTGGAAAAGCTGACTGCAGAAGCATGAATCTGAACTCTCTTCATTTTGAGGTTCTTGAGCTTGTATTTCTACCAAAGCTAAGGATTCTCGTCTGTAATAGAAATATAAGGAATTAAAAGATCACAGCTGACTAGGACCAACCATCTTTGTACTCGATCAAGAGCAATTTTAAACAGATTGCAACTATTCCGTACCACATTAATGTTTCCTGGTAAAACAACTATTCGTGAAACTTGTTACCTGACAGCCTGCTGCTACTTCACTGATCGTAGTGGATAGAAATTGAAGGAACATGTTGGATTTTGTAGAAATCTGCTCCTTCTTGGCCATCTACCACCTTGACCCTGTCACAAAATTCGTTAGGCATACCACCAATCACTAGCTCTTTGAGGCCTAGAGCAGACCTTAGTCCATGTAGAATCATAGCTAGTAATTCACAGTACCAAATCTCCAGATGAGAAAGATTGGGCATACATCCTTCATCCAGCCGCCAGTATTCTAAGTTGGGTAGCCTACAAAGAATTAGAGACCCAAGTTGTGGAAAACCAGACTCATGGCAAATCAAGAAATCACCCATATAGGATTTATAACCCAGTGTGAGGGATTGCAGCTGAGGAAGCTGCGCTAGTGTTTCCATTGGATCTTCTTCCATATAATTGTCTGTCAAGCGTAATGCAACAAGGCTTTGTAGGAATGGCTGGTCATATTTTGGAAACTGGTTCAATTGTGCTTCAAAGTACAAACTTTGAAGGCATTTACAAAGAAGCACCTCCTCCAAAAGAACATGCCCTTGTTCTGAACTAATAAAATTGCAGTCACCTATGAAAAGGTCTAACTCCCTCAAGTTTGGACAGTTCAGGTTGATCCGATTCATCAAAATTTGAAGGCTTTCATCATCATTTACTTTTGCATAGAGTATCCGAAGATTCTCGAGGTGCAAAAGATCAGCAATTTCATCCGTCTTACTATCTAATGCCCAGAGGGTCTCCAACTCGCTTAAGCCATGTAACTGCAGTTTGCCCCCTCCTTCCATCGTAGAGTGTTTCAAACTAAGAAATAAGTGTTTCAATCGTTTCATTTTCCACAGAACATTTGGGATTTTTATCTCATTTTTCACTTCAAGATCCAAGGTCTGCAACAAGGGCAAGTCAGCTACTGCTGATGGCAATTCATCCAATTTGCAGAATTTCAAACTTAAAAGCCTCAAATGGACCAAATTTGGTAATTGTATGGGCAGCTTTTTCCCATCAAAATCAAATCCTTCAAATTTTAGAACTCTAAGAGATTTGCAATTTTTTACGACTACACCCTGTGGCCAGAGCATTTGCGGTTCCCAAAATCCAGCAACTGCTTTCAGGCAAAACAGCGAGCGCAATTGTTGACAATCCTCTAGCGCACTGCTTACCGTAGCAGCACCATCTTCCTCATTTTCGACATGGATGACTAATCTGCAAGCATTATTTGTGAGAGAATATGAATGCAGCAAGGGTTGTGGTTTCACACCTTGAAAATCTACAACCCTGACAAATTCTTCCTCTCTGCCTTTCTGCAAACACAAGTCTCTCATCATGTCATGAAGGCGACAAGAGACAAACTTCCTGGACATCGAGGACTCGTGAAGTTTCAATTGAACCATTGATCTGCGGCCTAATTCGCTCAAGTATCTTTGTGCAACTTCCATCAGAGTTTCTCCGCTTCTTTGGTGTTCTTTCAAAACCATGCCTTCTGCCATCCATAGTAAATACAGATGTTGTGGTCTTATGTCCTCATCCTCCTTAAAATTGCCCAAATAGAGGAAACATAGCTTTAAATGATGTGGCAGCTCATTGTAACTTAAGGACAAGACTCGGGCAATCGATCCTCCATCTCTCTCTTCGTCGTCTTCCACCTTGCTTAGATATGAACCAATGTATCTATTCACCATTTGCCATTCTCTGAAGGAATTTTTGTCTTTGAGAATTCCTCCTAGTACAGTAATAGCCAATGGTAGGCCTCCACACTTGGATACCATTTCAATCCCAACATCCTGTAGATTTCTTTCAATCTTCAAATCTGAAAGGCAAATGTGACACATAATCAGTTATTGCAAGTTTAGTACTCCCCATGTGATGATCTAATATTTTTGGTTTGATTTACCCTTTCCCTCATGATAGATCATACGTTTTCCATCTATTATGCTGATATCCCTGAGAAGATGTCATAGAATTAATTAGAGTATACATGTTATTCTTAGCTGATCTCATAGCATTTTATGTACTTAGCATTACAAAATTGTATGAATTGTCTTCTCAATTGCCATATCCCTTAAATCTTGCTACTTTCGTCACAAATAGATCCAAGTTTTATGTTAACCATCAACCCCAAGAAAAATTAATCCATGTAATATTAATATTCATACACCTTACTAAGACATGAATGCTGACCTGCTCGCTTTCTTGCAAAAGCGATCTTTTGTAGCAACTCCCAGCCTTCCATTTCATTCAAGCATTTAAGCTCATAGAGACATCCTTTTTTTGCAACATTCCTGTTACGAGTTGTGAGCAAAACTTTGATGTCCCGTTCAACAACAGGAAATGCCGCAAGCAAGCTTTTCCAATCATCCACTTTCCAGATGTCATCAAGAACAACCAAACATTTTTTCTCTATCTGCACTTGATGAAGTTGTTGGACCAACTGCCTGTGTCCCATGAACTTGACATCCTCCTGCTTTTGGGGATGAAGCTGCATCAACAGATCCTGTAAAATGGCTTTCATTTGACCTTCTTGCGTTACACAAGTCCAAGCAAAACGTTCGAAACTCCGTTGAACGGCAATGTGTTTGTAAACTTTCCTAGCCAGAGTTGTCTTGCCAAGACCGCCCATTCCCCATATAGAAATGACACGATGGCGTTTGTCATCATCAATTACTAGTGACACCAAATTAGCTATATCATCCTCCATTCCAACGAAGTAATCCTCAACCTCATGGGCATAAGTTTGCCGTATCCATTGTTGGAACTTTCGATCATCATTCGCTGCACTTGAGCTTTCTGCTTCACCAATAGCTCTCACATCATACATTTGGAGACTTGCAGTGAGGCTACTTAGATCACTTTTGACTTTGGTAATCTCCACTCCTATGTTATGAAGAGATCTAATCTCAGCAAATGTGCCGGAAACTCTTTTAAGAACTTTCTTGACACCTCTATGTCCTGATGATTTCCTGGACGCAACTTCAATAGCAAACGTCTCGACGAGATCTTCAATCCTATAAGCAAGACTCCTGATTTCCCTCAGCCAATTGCGAATTGTTTCATCTTTGCAGTTTCTGGCATCTGCATCTTTTAGGAAGCAGAGCATTCGCTTTAGCTCTCTCCGGACTTCTTCAACTTGATCCGTCACTCCCGACAAGAATCTTGCTTCATCTTTCAACATATTTCCAAGCGTTTGCAGAACAAGCGAGACAATAGCTCCAGCCATTTTTTTTCCCTTCTGAAATTTCGGAGAGCAAAGCAAGCTAATAGCTTTGAAGTTCTTGATAATTAATCAGCTGATAGATGATGGGCTAGTGACACATTTCCAGCATATAATACCAGTAAGCCTGAGGCCTGATTTTGTTGACATTGAAGCTGCCGAGAAATGTTCCGGTTCAAAAACTAGTAGCGTGAAAACTTGCCACTAACTATTAACTAATGATTCTGCAATTTCCAGTGCAATAACCTGTTTAGTTGTGTACGGGACCTGCAGGCCGTGTTCTTTGCTATTTTTTTGTCTCAATAAACAATCATATCGTTGAAATATGGCCATTGACATTATAGTGAGTATATATTAAACCAACTTGCCTGGAATGCTGGGGGCATGGATAACGCAATAAACTAGACTTCTTCATCTTTTGGTCTTAAATTGGAATTATATGGCAACAATGTCAAGCGCACGATACTGGGGATATCATACCCACCCACTCTTCGCCCCACACCATCTTGACTGAATACCAGTATACCGCCCAACCTCACATTATCTATGAACAATGATATTGGCGTCCTCAGTCCCAACTGAAGCTATAATGAGGGACCTAACTCTGCAAAATTTTGTTGACACTGAAGTTGCTGGGAAATGTTGTGGGTCAAAAACTTATAGTGTGAAAACTTGCCACTGACTATTGTCTAATGATTCTGCAATTTCCAGCGCAATGGCCTGTTTAGTTTTGTACAGGATCTGCTGGCCATGTTCTTGTTTCTCAATATACAATTATATCGTTGAAATGTGGCCTTCGACTTTACAGTGAGCAGTTAAGGATGCAAATGAGTCGAAATCAAGTATTAGCCTTAGTGAACCTGAATCTCAAGTGAATTTTATCAAAATCGAACTCGAACTCAAACTCGATAAGCTTTCAATATAAAACTCGACCTCAAATTCGAACTAGTCAAACTCGAATTCGAGACTGCTCGAGTTTAAAAAATGAAAAATATTTTATCTTTAAAAAATAAATAAATTATTTATTTTCCTTAATAAATAATAAAAATATTAAGAATATATATGTATTTTCACTATTAAAATTATATATATATATATTGTTTTAAATTGGAATTATGTTACAAGGTCAATGGCACAAATGCACAATAGTTGGGGTTGGCACCCACTCGTCGCCCCGCACCATCTTGACTGAATTTCAGTACACCGGCTGGCCTCGGATTATCTTTTAAAAACGATACTGGCATCCCCAGACCCAACTGAGCAACAAACACCTCTCTCTTTGATCAAATGCAATGTTACAACCCAACACAACTCCGTAAATTGATTGAGTATTCTCCATCAGGTAAAATTGGAACCTCTCGTGCTTGTGAAACTCAAAAGAGCAGTACTAACTACCTAAAGAACCAAAAGTGCATGTACATTACTTAACCTGTAAGCTTTTCACTACGTAGAATCCTAGCTTTCCATCAACATGTAGTAATTCATCGGCTCCCCTGTAGACCCGTTCTGGTCGGTCAGATGGTGGTTCATTTTCCATCGGCTTTTCTTTAGATTCAGTTGGATCTCTTTCTAAATTTAGTTAGAGTAATGGTAGAAGTAAAGTAATAAGTGATAAATGACAAAAAAAAAAAAAAAATCAACATATAGTAATTTAGGTCACCTCAACTAAATCAAATTTACTTGTTTGACCAATAACAAGAAAGAAAAACTACATCAAATACTTGAATAGCTTTAATGCCAGCTAAGAAGAGAGCTAACATTTATACCTCAAAGCTAACACTTAAATAGGTTGAAATTTGAAGACAACATATCTAATTGTGTGCCAACTGGGCTTTGAGAATATTGCTAATATCTAGCGGTCTTCAAAGATTGGTTTGAACAGAAAAATTTGATCAAACCATTTTAATTTGGACAGAAAAAATTGATCAAACCATTTTAAAACAATTTATAGACAACTCAAAAAATAAAACCTTAAGCTACACGATCCCAATTGCTGTTTTGACTTACAAAAACCGAAATAAACCAGTACTTTTGGCATTAATTTGGGTTATCTGATTTTTGGTTTTGTAAAAAAAGACAATAATGCATTTTCCCTTTTTTTTTTTTTTTGGGAAAGCCTACAATAATTATATTGCTACTGGCAGTTAACTTTTTTCCCCTTCAATAGAGTAGTCAAATAATTCACCACTTGTTTGTAAAAAAAATATTCATGTAATACCCACTTAAAACATTGGTTATCATTCAATAATTTAAATTTTTAAAATTATTTAAGAAATACTAATTTCTCTTTTTATGCATCTAAGTTAAGAGTTGATGCTCATAGATACCGTACCAAAAGGGACCGTAAGATGAAGCGCTTTGTTTTACTTACAAGTCGGAATCAATTGGTTTGAAAATTTTTGGTTTCCAGATTGCAGCCCAAAATCGAGCTGAGCTTTCAGAACTAAAAGCCCAGTTTACTGACCCATTAATGCACCGCCGTCCGATATCACACGGCGTCGTTTGTTCAACAAGAAAGATCGCGATAAACCCTCCAAGCTTATTCCTAACGAAAACCGAAAGGGTTTAAGACTTCCAACTTCTATAGAAGTGCACGAGAAAAGCTTCCCTTTTGTCCTTCAATCACACAATTCCAATGGCGTCTTTCGGCGGAAAACGGGCTCCGGCGAACAGATCCAGGTCCGACCGCCGGGCGGTGATCTCCGCAAGAGCATCATCCGAGTCTTCTTCAATCGTTGATAAAGGCAAACGGGCAGCCTGCGACGCGGCCTACGTTGGAAAGAAGCTTCTGAACAGCACAGGCAAAGCAACGTGGTATTTAGCCACGACTCTTTTGATCTTTGTGGTTCCCCTCCTCATAACAATGGATCGTGAGCAGCAGCTTGAAAATTTCGAGCTTCAGAATCAAGCGCTCCTTGGGCCTGCCCCTCCTCCTCAACAAGTCCATGGCCCGCCCATGTGATGATTCTATTTTCTCGACTCTCTGGTTGTTGTGGTCGTGGAATTTAACTTGTTAGTTAGTGAAAATTCTGGGTTTTATGTTTCTTTTTGTAAGTTTTAGGGTGGCAAGAGAAAAGCGTTGTGAATTTTAAGGTTTAAAAGTAGTATAGTAGATTTTCGGTGGAGAAGACTCGACTTTCTGTTCAGATTGATGATAATTAGCTTGCTATTAGTATTTTGGTAACCAAATGGTTGATATTTTTGTGTCTGTGTCATTCTCTTCTTTTTTTTATGTGGGATATGATTGATGAATGACGATGTGATATAGTGTGGAAATACAGCAGTAACCAAAGATTGAATCTTTTTGGCTGGTGAAGTTCAGTTGGTTGAATTCCTGTTGATGGGATATGGTGTTGAGAAGTAATCAAACATTGGGTCTTTTTCGCTTGCTGACAGGTGCCGAACCTGTACAATAATAAATACCTACTCGAGGAAAATACAGATTTTGTATATAGCGGTGAGTAGGGTCGAATCCACAGGGACTGGAGATAATTTGTTTCTTCTAGAGTCCAAAGTATGGGGGGTTTTGGATTAAATGCTAACTAAATAAATTAACTGCAGAAAATAATTAATTAAAAGAAATGATTGGGGAAACTCTAGCCAAGGGTACACATCAGAAATGGTTCATGCACTGATCATTGATGCATAAATAATTCCAACATTTAGCAATAGATTAGTTATAGTTGTCATGCACGCGATAAACAACCAACCCTTCCTTAATTTCTCGATAGTTAAGGTACGACCGTTAGCTATTTCTCTAACCCAAAAATAACCCTAGGTACGACCGTAGGATTTAATTTCTAGATTGCATTAATAATTAGAAAGGCCCAATCCTAACCAACAAACACGCTACGAGGGTTTGTTTAAATTAGATCATATGCTCCCCTGACATAAACCCAATTACGCCAGTTGCTACTGAGGTAGAGATAACGAACAATTACGGATTCAATTACCCCTATTTAGCAAAAATAGCATATATGAATAATTAATTATTGCGCACTAATCAATCATACACAAGGCCATAGCAATTAAAATCAAGGAACATATAAATACCAATAAATGAAGAAAATAATTAAAACAGATTCGATCTCACAGTAATTGTTGAACCAAATCGTCAGTTGTCCCCTTGACTAGAAAAGCTTAACCACGCCTCATGAGAAAATCTCCCCGTTGGGGAATATTGTCGAATACCTGGCGTGTGTCAGAGGCCAGTCCAAAAAAAGAAAACTATAACTAAACTAAAAAACTAAAACTAAAGCCCTAGATATCCTTTGCTTCTGTACGTTGTCCCCTTTTAAAGCAACAAAAGAAAGATGACTAAATGCTATTTAGGTGGTCCCCACACATGTGGACAAAGCCTCCCAAGTACTTCTTGTTCCAAGTCTCTCTACGTTGCTTTCTTCGAAGCCCAAAATGACCAAATGCCTTTCACTAGCTTGTGGTCCCCCACCAATTCAAGGGCCCAAGGATTGAAACCCTTAGAAGTCTCCCTATTTTCCATAAAGTCCTTCCTTTTTGATAATCTTCTGCTTCAATCCCTGAAATTGGGTCCAATACCAAATATAAGTAAATATTAATAATTAAAACAATATTTGGCAAGGATAACAGGGGAAATTAACAATAAAATTGCTAACAATTAACACCCTATCAATTCCCCCCACACCTAAATCATGCTTGCCCTCAAGCATGGGAACAACAATTGAACACCCAAATTTGACCATGGCGGTTACTCCAACTACCGTATTGTCAAGACACCAAGAAAATCATATATCAAGCGACACAGGTCAAGATCCAAGAAAAATCACCCCGGTTAGCATCTAAACTACCAACTCCTCCAATTTTAAAGCAAACTAATCTAAGAAAAAGGAATGGTTGCTCATATTTATCAGTAAATGGTTCATCTATTAACCAAAATCTCGACATTAAGATCACAAATAGGCAAGCTGACTTATACACATACTAACACAATCTTTATTTTATTTTTTTCTTTTTGTTTTGTTTTTGTT